CCGCGTCGATGCCGACTCATGGTTACTCCACGTGGACCCTACATGTGCAGAACAGAACTACTCCACTAAGTTTGCATGGTTGTCATCTTTTGGAAGCAGATGGCCAGGACTGTCTTCTGAGGTTCCTGCGAGTGGGTTCGAACCACCAACCTTTCAGCTAACAGTTGAGCGCTTAACCATTTGAGCCACCCAGGGATGCTGTCTCTAATCATACTAACAAAAATGCAACCAAAAAATTCAACTGAAATTTAGACCCCTGTTTTTCTGGTCAGAGTCAGAATACAGACATAAACACCGTAAGGCAGATGTTCAGAATCTAGTGAGGTAATTTCTTTATTCTGGAGAGCTTCTTTTATCATAGGATAACAACTATTATTGAATCAATATTACCTCTATCACTTATCAATTACTAAATGCTAAACTTATCTCTCTATATAATATAATGAGAATTATACCAATAAAGTATATATTATAAAACAAGTCTGCATTTTCAACTAATGTCATAAATATGAAACCAACTGATACTAACCAATCTTACTCAATAAAACCTAACTATCCTTTTGTACCATAAAAATACTATAAATGATTTCCAAACGAATAACAAGCTAGCACCAAAAATATGCATCATCTTTTTAACAAGAAACTTACAGTTACTACGGGTTTTTTTGATAGATAAACAGAACTTAAGTTATTGGATTTTCCTCTGTATATTAATATCCAGCAAGTCACTATATTCTTCTTGAAAATGCCTCATCCTATTCTATTGTATGTATTCTCATGGTTTACTTAAAACAGAATTGCATGAGTACATATTAAATGTATATAAGAAAAATAAGCCCAAAGTACATTCCCTGTAAGGGCAAATGGAAGACAGTTGATTGTATTCCCTAGACCAGTCAAACAAACCTACGTGGAGCATAAGATGGTTACTAAAAACAAATAAGTATATAAACTGGTAAGTTATATGAATGTTACTAAATTCATATTTAATAATAATGAATTTTATATTTAATGAAACATTCTATTACAAACACTTTAATAACTGAGTTAGCTTTTAGTTACTTTCTCACACGTGAGTTATTTGGTTTGCATAGTCCTACTGGAGTATCATAGTCTAAAAATAAAAGTGTATTAATTGATTAAGATATCAATTAGATATTTAGATGAATAAAATAACAATTTTGGAGAACAAAGCTGTTTTCCAATACCTACATTAAAATACATATATATATAAACTATCCTCAGAGACAAAAGAATAAATAAAACTAATTTTAAAATAAATGTTTTAAGAACAAGCTAATCATCTGCTATAATTTATCTAATCCAAGCTTGCATATGTATATATACAAAAATATTTAACTTGTGGAGTATTTTCCAAAAACACATACAAGAAGGTCTACTCTTTCTTTCAAAACAGTGGCAATCTTATTAATATTTTACTACTTAGTCCTTATATTAAACGTGTTTTCCCCTCTCCAACTCATTACCCATACCTGGATCCCAGTCATTTGATTTGACTGGTGAGAAAAATACCTTTACTACTTCCTAAAACTAAATTTCAAATGATAAACTTAATATTTATATATCCTGATTTCATTTATTTAGTCATTATTAGATGAACTACACATAACACGTTCGTTTTAATATCCACACTTTACACACACACCACACACACATACACACGCAGTAAACAAACACTTAGAAGTTTATACCAGATGCTACCTTGCAGCTTGATGCCAACTAAGAATAAATTTTATATAAGTAAGCCTACTTATATAAATGTAGTCATTTTTTTAAAAAGATAAGTTAGATCCAAACAACCATGAAATTATAGATCTACGGTTATAGATTCATATATGAAAAATAAATGTGCATATATATTCATATATATTTACATACATTGATGTGTACAGTGTATGACAGAGATGCCAACATACTCTCAGATGCCAAATGGAAACAAGATTATAAGTATATACTTATATAAGCTTGTATCTTGATAAACATATATGTTTATGAATATAAACAAAAAAAGGAGTACTTTTTTAAAAAATGAAATGAAGTCCTTATGTCTTACATACACTTTAAAATCCCTTTTCCAATTTTTTTTTTTTTTTTTTTTTTTTTTTTT